AAGAAAGTCTTCTTCTTAAGAGCTAGATAATACAGTGATGAGTCCATCGGATCCTGATTTTGTTGGAACGCGACTTTGCCAAGCTGGAAACACGAAGCTGAACAGAGCTCAACATCTAGGACAATCTAGCAAAAAATTACCTTCTCAACGCAAACTTTGAGGCTAGCCGTGCTCTTCAGCCACCAGCCAACGCCGAGGCTCCTCAGTTCATCCCAGGTTGGATTGGCTTTTTGCGAAAAGGAGATCGCATTCAACAGTTCTGTTTCGGTTTCAGAATGCAGAGCCCAGATGATGTCGGCTGAGGCAAGACCAGCCACCTGGAAAAAGAACATGGTTTTGAGATTAATGGAGCTGTCGCGTCTTCTTGCCTTCAAAACCATTCTTTCCTTTTCTGGTAAGTGGAGCAGCAAATATTCATGCCGTTTTAACGCCATCAGATAGCGCTGTCCACATTCATCTACAGCTGCTATCCCAGACGGCGCTGCTGCGCATCTGCGAACATCACCTAGAAGTAATTCCACTACGGAATCAAAAAAATACAGCACAAATGATGTAAAAATTAGTAAAATTTTGAAAGGAAATCAAATTAATAAAAAGAAGATGAGAAATATACACGTTGGAAACTGGGTCCGAGTACATCTCAAAAATTACAGAAATAACATCTATACAGATTCCGGTGAGCTAACATACCTGCAGTGCCCTCAATCGAAAAGTTCATCAAATCACTGGAAAACTGACTGAGTGTGTCAGCGATAGCGAGCAGATGCATTTGTTCAATATCTGATAGTCCAGGCAAATGGGTATGAGTTAACAACTCTGCCAGCAATCTGTACGCAGAAACGCACTTCTCTAGACGGTCAGTTGGCTGAAATTACCTGTTATTCTGCGTAGTGAAGGTTGTAGGAAAGTGTTCATTTTGTAGAACGTCACTAAACATGGCTGAATCTGATTTATCAGCCGCGAACAGAGCTTCGTACGTCTTGGAATCATCCTATAATCAAACCAATCAAGAGCAAATTTTACTGGTAGAAAAATTATGGTACCTCGCCAAATCCCGTTTCCTTCCCAGCGTGCTCATTTATTCGGTTGTCAACATTGCACAGAACATGCAGTGGTAACATAGGGAAACTATCGAGTATACAGTAACGTTCGACCTGAAATGCAAATAGTCATTGGGGAACTGGCGACATGACCA